ACCCACTTGTTCAGCCCATCCTGCACGCTTCTCCCCGGATGACAAATATTCTCGACACAGGATCACCATCAAGAAACGCTTCGGTGTCCTGCTGACCCAGCAGCCTCGGCCTGTGGTATAAAATCCCAACCTCTGGTGCCAGGTGAGACCATGGCAGGAAGAGAGAAACTTCTGAAGCAACCTGAAAGAAGCTGAAACAGGAGAAACAACGACAGCAGATCTGCACTTTTTGCATTTTGTTTTATCCAGAGAGAATTTTTTTTGAGTGTTGCTGTTATTTGGAAACCCTGCCTAATTTCCTTCCTGGAACGAGGAAGCATGGATGTTCTTCAAGAGAGCTTGAATTCTTTCACCTACCCTTATCTGGCCTGTGTATTTCTGGAAATAAAATGAAATCCTTCGTTGTTATTTCTTCGACAAACCCATGTTTATAGTTGTGGAAGCCACCTCGGCCTGTAAAATCCAAACCTCTGGTGCCAGGTGAGACCACGGCAGCCTGTCAGGAAGAGAAAACTTCTGAAAGAAGCTGAAACAGGAGAAACAACGACAGCACATCTGCACATTTTGCATTTTGTTTTATCCAGAGAGAATTTTTTTTTGAGTGTTGCTGTTATTTGGAAACCCTGCCTAATTTCCTTCCTGGAAAGAGGAAGCATGGATGTTCTTCAAGAGAGCTTGAATTCTTTCACCTACCCTTATCTGGCCTGTGTATTTCTGGAAATAAAATGAAATCCTTCGTTGTTATTTCTTCGACAAACCCATGTTTATAGTTGTGGAAGCCACGTTTTAGCAAAATACATGATGACTGGGTGTAACGGTGCTAGTCTGTGATTGGGGGGCAGAATTTGGAGACACCTTAAATTATAAATATATTTATAAATATATTTCACACCCCTTTTTTTGGGTTATATAGGGCATTTCGTCAAAAGCAGAAAGGGTTGCTTCAGCAGATAAGCTCCCATCTAATTTGAAAAGGTTAGCATTGCACGATGAAAATGAAATATTCTGTGCTAAGACTTACTCAAAATGAAATGTGGGACAAGGGGTGCAAGATTCTTGAGGGGAGGAAAGCAACGAAGCTTACAAACTCTGAACAAGGTGGTCGTGGTTTTCTGACACCTTCCTTTTGCTATCCTCAATTGATTTTGCTATCTTTTGAAGAAAAGTATTCTGCATTTCAGTGGGGAAAGCAGTATGTAACATATTCAAGTTACATTAATGTGCAGTGAAAAACAGTGAGTGGACCGAAGAGAGATCAAATAGACATACTGTTGGCAGGCACAGAATGATATAGAAAAATTACTGGGAATAAATATTACCCACTTTATTCAGTGGCTTATCTTTTTGGTACAAAGCCTGCAGATCTTGTGATTTGGCAGGCCAGCTGTAGCTCAGCAGCTGTCTTGTAACCTTTCATAGCCTTGGTAAATTTAATTTTATCAAGCTGTAAGCCAAATAGCTCAGATGGGGAGTTCAATTCCCCACTGCGGCTCCTTTACAGGAGCTGGACTCGATGAACCATAGGGCCGCTTCCAGCTCTGCAGGTCTTAATTTTTCTGTTTGCCTTTAACCGTAAAATCAGACTTTGACTCATTTGGCAAGACAGCCACACTGAATAATTGCCAGTCTGGCTGTGCCCTTCTCCCTCTGTACTAGCGTTCAGTAGCAGCCCCCCTCCTTGCTCACAATCGGAGCGTACGCCCAAGGATGTAAAATCAGACTTTGACTCATTTGGCAAAACAGCCACACTGAATAATTGCTCACAATCGGAGCGTACGCCCAAGGATTTTTATGCATTAAAAAGATCTTGGCATAAGCTGAGGTTTACCAGACATGAAATTCCACAGCTAGACTATGCAGTCAAGAAGACCTGTATAATCAGCCTTTGATGTGGGAAGCTTCAACTCATACCTTTTCATCCTGCAGGCCACACTGATTGGGTAATTTGAAAGACTGAAATATCTTGGAAGAATGAACGTATGTTTTATATTAAAATTTTGATTTGCCCTCCTTTTGAAAGATTTAAATATCTTTCAGGAAATGGTACCTTGTATCTTGGAAGAATGAACGTATCTTTTATATTAAAATTTTGATTTGCCCTCCTTCCTTCTTTGCTATATATCTTAGACTTGTTTGTATAATTGTAATTCTACATCAGATTATGTCTTAGAATGGTATATTTTCATATATATATTTTCTCTTTGTGTGCACCATAACTTCCTTTAAATATCTTTCAGGAAATGGTACCTTGTATCTTGGAAGAATGAACGTATCTTTTATATTAAAATTTTGATTTGCCCTCCTTCCTTCTTTGCTATATATCTTAGACTTGTTTGTATAATTGTAATTCTACATCAGATTATGTCTTAGAATGGTATATTTTCATATATATATTTTCTCTTTGTGTGCACCATAACTTCCAGTATGACTTCATTCAGGGGTATATGGAGACTGCCACCAGAGCCAAAGCTGCAGAGGGAAATGGAGTTTGTCACATGTACCAGCAAACATGTATTCCTGGTTACCAGGCATAGACGTGATTCCGAGCAGCAACAGACATTAAGCTTGTTCATATTGAAGTCTTTGTTTTGCTACTGTTTCACTTCCCTCTGCTTCATTTCTGGCCTCAAAGTTAGGAGTTTATGACTGCTCTGAGCCAAGGCCAGCTCTTTAAAATGCGTCTTTCTTTCTCACATCCGGCCACTGAAACCACAGCAGAAGCAGGGAAGGTCAATAACAAAATAATAAACTGAAAGGCTGCTTTTACATGATCTTGTGATGCACAGCACAAGTTAACAATTTCTAAATCAGCATCTACTTAGTGTAACTTCTTCAATCCCAGGCATCTGAGGAAATGGGCTGCAACACACAAAAGTTTATGGTAAATAAACGTTCTTAAAAGATGCCGGAGGACTTTGTCCTTTAGTGCTAGGGAGGGTATGTGAATGGGGAAATCTGTATCCCCAAGTATAAATACAAGTGCTTAAGAGTGGCATGCCAAGAAGGAAATAATGCACAAAAATAATGGGTTTATTGGCTTGCTATGTGATGTAGGAGCCACCAACCCATGTTTTTTCTTAAAAGATGCATAGATGAGTTTGAAAACTTGGAAATATACCATCTCATGTTTCTTCTTTGGTCAACCAAGGCCAATATGTTACATTGCAAGGGTCTGGATTGTGGGACTACAGCTCCTTCCAACCTGTAGCCAAAGGCGAAAGATGATGGCAATTGGTAATACAAGAAGTACGATCTAGAGCCACGGAAACCCTGTTCAGTTTGTTTTTGTCCAAGATACGGTTTCTTTGACATTCAGTGTATGTTGAAAGGCATTTTCTTCTTAGGACTAATGATTTTTTTTGAGGAATTTTAATGACCTCCACATTTCCTCTCCTTAAGTGTTCCTATAATCTTCCCACCAAATAACTTCTCTTAAAAACTCTTCTGCCAAATAAAACTTGTCTTCACAGCACCCTAAGTAGCTACTAATAATTTCAGGTCAATAACTAGAAAAAAAGTAGACCCTCTGAGAGGACGTGGTATCGTAAACATACTGGTTTACATTTTAAATGGTTGCTATTAGTGTGGATCTCATTTTAAATTGTATTACAGTGTTTTATATCTATTGATATGACCCACAGTGAGTAGAACTGAATTCTTTACCTCCATAATCGCTTAAAATGTGTGTTTTTGGGCAAGGTAAACATACTGTACTGATTCACATTTTAAATGGTTCCTATTAGTGTGGATCTCGTTTTAAATTGTATTACAGTGTTTTAGATCTATTGATATGACCCACACTGAGTAGAACTGAATTCTTTACCTCCGTAATCGCTTAAAATGTGTGTTTTTGGGCAAAATCATCCTTGAATCCATTGCTTAGGGCAAGACATGGAAGGTAGGGCTTTCCAGTGCAGACTATGAATGTGTACTCGTCTCATTTGACTTCAAAGAGGGGAAGTTACCCTCAGGAAAACGGGACAAAAATGTGTCTTTTTAAGTTTTATTTATTACAGTACCATTTCATGGACCCATGGGAAGGTAACTCGCTGCTTTTCTCCCCACTTTTATCCTCCCACAACCCTGTGAGGTAGGTCAGGCTGACAGAAACAGGTCACCCAGTGAATTTCATATCCGAGTTGTGGGGGGGGAGTTGAACTCAGGACTCCTGAGTAATGGAGCCCAACACTCCGACCACGACGGAGCAGTGACTCCTCATTATTATTAAATCCGGCCTCCCGCCATCCCCGTCAAGCGGTTCTCTGAGGGGGCGAGAAGTAAAGCCCCAGCCACCATCGCCGCACCTGCGCATGTGCAGAAGCCAGGGCGGCTACTGAACCCCGCCCCCCCCACCCCGCCAATAATCGGGCGCCATCTGAGGTAGCGGCTAAAAAAGCAGCGCGCGCGCCGGC